GTTCTGTTTGAAGTCCATGATCATAGACGCTTTTCAGAAACTTGTTTTTTTTTCAAAGGTTCACAGCGATCCGACAAAATGTGTACCTAACAAGCCCAAGGCTCTACAATAGTGTATCATCCAGGGATTGAATCCAGTGATGGCCTTGGATTGGATTTGAGTGGACATGAAAACAGCAAGCCAATAAGGCAAAAAAGAAACAGGCTTAGAACCAATTCATAAATAAGCTTGTTGATCGCTAATTGAAGCCAAGCTGACACAAAGGGGATTGATGTACTGCTTCAAGCTGTGGATGTAGAATCCCGGCACAGTCATTCTTCGGAAGCTTGGCATATTTTCAAATTGGATATGCCTTGGTGCAACAAAGCAAGATAACATTACACCCTTTTTTGATACTGGATATCCTTTCAAAAAACATGGGTGAAAGCAATCCAAAACATAAGCAAATGCCATTAGGATACTGGTTTGGTCCAGGAGATGTGGTTGCAAAGCATTTGAAACAAATATCTCGACACTGGTAGTGGCGCTTCATGACCCACAGGTCCCTATGCCATTTCCAGTCCCCCCGTACTTCGCACATTGAGAAGCAATGTTTCATGGGTCGGCCTGCAAGTCTTGCACGTTGTGGATCTAGTGAATCACCATTTGGCCCAACCCGAGGCCACAGCCCAGCGTATGCCGCCTCAGAGACGAGATTGGTATGGGGACCCAGAACCCATGTTATATATAGATGATATTTTTGGGGTGAATTTCATGCATCATATTTTTAAAATATACTGTAAACTCATGGACCAGGTAACATTGAAGCTCCATGCTGCAACACGTAGAACTGGATCCAGGGTTTCATGTCCCAGACAAAGCTCATTGCGAAGCACAAAGAATATAAATCGAGCTAGATCCAATCCTTGGTGTGCTGGGGATATCTAACATAAAACAACAACAAGAACAAGAACAAGAACAACAAGAACAAGAACAAGAACAAGAACAACAACAACAACAACAACAACAACAACAAGAACAACGACAACAACAACAACAACAAGAACAACAACAACAACAACAACAACAACAACAACAACAACAACAACAACAACAACATCCACATATTCGGTGTATTTCCTTTTGAGACTTGAGCGCATAAACAAGGTAACCCAGGATTCATTCCAGAAAACCAAAGAAGATAATTCAGCCATGAAGCGCATCACCTCCTGCAACGGGAAGTTCAGCAGCATACAGATGATCTTTGCACCTGCTAAAGTATACTTCGCATCATCTCCAGCCATTCCCACAGGGATGTGTTTCTTCTCCTCCATGGCCGGGTGCTGAACCTCACCAAACTTTTCCCAATGGTCCCAGTACTCCTTCACATCCTTCTGCTTCCATGTCACTTTGCCATTGTCCTCGGATAAGGATGGCCAAATGACCAGCGTCCAGGCACACCAGATTGGCTGAATAGAGGTCTGCGGGTTTCTTCAAGATATAATAAATTTCAACATCAATAAATATAATTAATATCATAAGTGGGTACTGTGTGCTATGTTTAAGTCATTAAGTTGTTGGATGACATTAACTTTTGACCCAAGTATGGACACATGTTGGAAATGGGATTATGTTGAGGGAATGGTGGAACATAGATCGGTACAACAATGTTGTCTAACCTTTTATTCCCTTATTGGAATTGACCTAACTATGGAAAAGCTAACATTCTCACCAAGCAGCAACAAGATAATTGATCAATTCATGGGGCAGCACCATAGGAACCCGCAGTGTGGTTTTGGCGTTGTGATCATCCGAGCTGATGTCCTTGATGGGAATGTCCACGAAGTACATTGCCTGAGTTTGGCAATGGGGCAGAGGCATGCCAGTGGTCAATGTGGACCAAAGGACAAACTGATGGCGAAAGTCTTTTGCGAGAAGGACAGCGCCAAATCTGGAAGAGGCATCAAGACAGGAGGAAAGGCAAGGACTTTCTGCAGGAGCAGAGCAAGTCCAACGGCTTCATGGTGCCGACAGATGGCAGCATATCATTGCGACCCAGTGGCGATTGGAAGTTCCAGGGCCGACATCAAATCCCTTTCGCAGTTTCCTGGGAACTTGCCACTTGTCCCGATCCTCGATATCTTCTTTGTGATCTCTGAGCTGTGGCCATGGCTTTCCTTAGATAATCCAAAAGTTGCATCACAAATGCAAGTCCATGTTTTTAAAAAGATTAATCAGTTGTGAATGAATGTCAAACCTTCAAGCCAACAAAGTAACATCATCATGTTCCAAGAGCAGACCGGCAAACTGACCATATTACCGATTCTCCTGAACACAGTTTGTTTCCATCTATTGCTACAAATATTAATGGAAATAACATACATTGCGTTAAGGGAAGGAATGATAGATTAAGTGGACATGTTTAACTACTGGAGAAAACACACTAACTCTGGTGTTTGGGCTCATAGACAATGTTCAATGAACACCCCAAAAGAGGCAATATGTAGATAGCTAATGTATTCATTGATAGTGGTTAAACACAATTAAAAAAAATAGTCACAAAATCATTGGCTCAGATTGCATCACCTCAGATCCCTGTAGGTTTGCTGTTCAAGCATCTTTCACAACTGCCAAAGCAGCTTCCTGCAGGCCAGCTGCCGAAGATGCCTTGGAGAAAGACAATGGGAAGACAAGGCAGTAGCACTTCCGCTACCTAGTTGTCTTGTGGGGCTGGGACATGTCAGTGATAAATCCTATTTGTGAATGGGCAAGTGAAATTCATACTACGAAGCCAAGTCACACCACGACCCAGTGAAGACAACAGATTCTCGGCGAAGCTGGTATCTGCGAAGGGTTTTGAACATATGTGTATGTGTCAGTGATGATGTTCGTGGATCAATGACAGCTTTCGATCAATGTTGTGAAGTTGTGATGTGGAATCAGCTTTGCTGTTGCAAGTAATTTCATGAATTCTGTTTTCATAAAACAACCCCAAGTGGTAACATCATTTTCATTTTGGGTTGTTGAAGCCAAATGGTTGATGGGTTCAGCACGCTTTGCATTTTTTCACCACAAGCTTCTTCTCGCATCGTGTTGCCCTAAGTGAATTGTCCATCAACCCGCATCAGTGCTAGTTGCACTGATGCCTTCCCATGTCCCGGGTCTGAGCACAATGTCGATCATTGTTGTTCAACATCATCATGGCACCTAATGTTTTGTTACAACATGCGGTACCCCAAACCCAGGTTGTCCAGGACAGAAAATCACATTGCAACATTCGAGAAAGCTAGAATACCCATATAGCATGACTTGTCCAAAACATTTGCCAGGTCTTTCAGCTGGCAACGGAATTGCTCTACTCCGCAGGCTTCGATTGGCTCTTCGCCTTGGCCTTACCCTTTGCCTTCGGCAAAAGGCTTTTCACGGTACCAGCAGCCTTCTTGTATGCACTGATTGCTTCCAGTAGTGCCTCCATAGAAGGCCGCAAAGCATCATCAGTTGCTCCACCAGCCATGGCAGCCTTCCAAAACGATATGAAATTGGATTACTGATTTGTGTCTTTCAAGTGTTGTGACATGAAGCAAGCATGTCTTGCAACAGACCAAACGTAGATTGCACACTATGCACCTCCAGTGCACCACGCATTTTCTCCAGATCCGCCAAGCGTGTTTCGATATCCAACAACGCAGCATTTTTCATTCCCTCTGGCCTAGGTTCAAAGCCGATGCACTATGGTGCAAAGCACATTTGAAAAGTGTGAGCCGCTGGGATCCTCAGAGCCAGACACCTTGTTTTTGGTGAGCACTTGTTTCCAACCTGGGATTTTCCAATATGAAGAAATATAAAGGCCACACTAATCACATGAACTGAGATATCTACTAATATAATATATATATATATATATTTATTTATTTATTTATATTTTTCTGGCCCAGCAACTCTTCGCTTCAAGAATCAAGGCCGATGACGATTGCATAGCCTGCAACATTGGTTGATCAATCAAAAGTGCTGGTGATGTTTTTGAGTTTCATTATGAAATCATAAGTTCAGCATACATACCCATAGGATCCATGTATGGTATATATACTAACATTGGGGTATATTGATGGTAAATGTTACCATATATAGCATACATGGATCCTATGGGATATCAATGATACCAAGACACAATCTTGGCTTCTTGTTCAGGAGTCTTCGCTTTGGGTGTTTTTTTCTCCTTTTTCTCCGGCTTTGCCGGCACAGTCTCCGGCAACGTCTCGGTCGAAGTTCCAGGCTTTCCAGGAACAGCAGCACTGAAAGGTGTAGGAGCTTGGAATGACTGCGGCATCATCTGCAATGGTTTTGACCTTGTGTGGTTCAATCAATTCGGTAGTGTGTAAGTACAATCAAAGCATAAGTTCTTCACTGGGCGCAATGACCACACAGCAAGACCGATGACATGTCCAAAGACAGGTTCAGATAGTCTAAGCCTCATACATCATGCTTTTAGCATTTGTATTGTCAAGCCCTGTTTCCTTTCTGATCTCCACCGGTTGCGCGACTTTGTGGCTCGCAGTCTCTGAGGTGGAGCTCCAGCAAAGAAACATCTTCACATCCTTGTCAAGGCCAGGTATGGGGGCTTATGGGGGACTCTGTGCAAAGCAAGCTGGGCAAACAGTAGTGACAACCACACTATTTACATCGATGTTGAACTAAGCTGTCGTCAGGTGCATCAGGGTTCCATTCCCACTGCTGTTCCTTCTCCTCCACGATTCAGAGGTGACACATTCAGTCACTATGCACATTTACATTCAGTAAAGCACCACAAATCAGAATGGTAGTTTGCACATGTTTGCACATGCATGCAGTAGCTCCTTCGATGCTATGATACCATCAACCAGCTGCGCATTTTGATGGTATTTCGCCAGTAGGTCCTCAGGATACCAATGCACAAAATTTTAAATACCATCTTGCACATGTTGCTGTTGCAAAGCTTTGGAAAGTTTCAAATGAACCGTTTATCCAAGACACTTCCCTAGACATCAATTGGTACTTCCCACGGCGTTCATGTTCTCTATTCGCCCGGATGCTAGCCAGCAAAGCACTTTGTCCCCAATCTTCTTTGCTCTGAATGAACTCCTCGAAGAGCTGCCATCGCTCTTGGTGACTGGCTTTGCCGCCTCAAGGCAAACATCATCAGGTTCAAAACCTAAACCATGTAACATCATGTACCAGTGGACAACAAGAGACTTCAGACATCCACAGCTACACCAGTTGCCAAACCACATGAACTGTCTTAAGTGGAGCCTAGACACCTTTCGCCTTAATCTGAGCCCAGCGTGCAGCAATTTCAGGTGGACATCGATCACCTGAGCACAACAGAAGCTAGATATTATCATTGTTTTTTTCGGTACCATAAAACATACCATATAGGAACAGCAAATATACAAATAGTTTACTACAATTTGTAAAATATGTTGTGCCCATGATACCAGTTCTCCCCACCCTATTAATGCAGCATAGGCACTGGTCACAGATCTAGAAAACCTCATGTAGCCATTCTTCAAAGCCTTGGCAGCAGCAGTTGCATTTTCACTTTCTGCATTGCCACCAGTCGGTTCTGCAGCTCCAGGGGTGGCATGGGCCGGTTCTGCGGCTCCAGGGGTGGCATGGGTCGGTTCTGCGGCTCTGGGGGTGGCACAGATAGACCCTTCAACTGATGGTTGCCCTTCTGCGGATTTCAAAGGTGGTAGGTCATCAGCGGCCAACTCAGCCAGTGACAGCCCAGCAGCAATGGCTGCCTCTTTGCTCATGGGGACCCAAACAGGCTGCACCACACCAGCAAGGGACATGAGCACTCTGGTGTGACCTGGTGCAGCTTGAGGAGCCAGGTCCACAGTATCCTTCCTGCGCAGGCATGCCTGCACATCTTCAGCCTTTGGAGTGAAGGGCTTTTCCCGTTTTTCCATCTTACTTTCATCAATTCTTTCATCACTGGGTCCAAACATTCGATCCATCTCCTGCATGAACTCCGGCGACAAACCCTGTGGGCTGAATGGGGGAAGGCTCTGTGTTGCCTTCGGCTCGGGCGTCTCAGCTTCACTTGGAACAGCAGGCAGTGGTTCCAAAGGCTTGTTGTCACCATCTTGGTCGGCAGTGTCTGCAACATCTACCCCATCCTTTGAGTCAGATTTCACATCCAAAGAGGTCGGAGCAGGCGAAGCCAAAGGTGTTGGAGGGTAGAGGGATGAATCCCCCAGCTGGTTGTCCGGGATCTCCTTGGGCAGTGTGGGTGAGGCATCCTCCACTTCAAACACTGGTGTCTGTGCTGCAGCATCTTTTCTCGGTGTCTCAGCTGGTTTCTCACCATGTCCTGTAGTCAGACCTGCTTCTTCTTGTTCTGAAACTCTAGATGCCACAATTGCTTCATCGGTTTTCGGTGTTGATGCTACCTCTGTGTTGTCCTTCTTCGGTTCTGGGGACTCAGCTTGGTCAGGAGTGTCATGTCTGGATGGCCTTTTGAACTTCGACCAAAACGACTTGTATGTTTCAACACTGCCATCGGGCTCCGTGTCACCATTCTCATGTTGTCGTTTTGTGACCGGAGCTTTGATGTCCTCATGAGGGCGGATGGCATGAGAAGCAGCACTCCCCAGGATACGCTCCAGGAACTCACGCAGACATGCAGGATTCTCTGCAAGCACAGGGTTGGCCACCAGTTGACTCAAGGCAGCTTGAACCTGAGGGTGATCCAAGCACAACCCACACATGAGCACAGCAATCATCACAGCCAGCCCTTCATTGTCCACAGGAGCATACACTGGGTGTGTGTATATGAAGATATTGTTTTACAGATCGATAAAGTTTTATGATTGTAAATACAAATAACAGGTGGATGGATCAATAGATAGATGAGGGCATGTATGGGTGTTTGAAAAGAACGATCAGTGGGTGGAGGAATGGATATAGTATCGGAATAGATAAATGCAAAGACAACGATTTGATATACAAATGGATAGATGGCCATATGAACTTTTGATCAGATAGATCGATAAAGAAATTGAGATAGAGACCATGCTAGGGACCCAGGATAACATATAAATATATCTATCTATTATATGGTCTAATAGATCCCCTCGCAGAGCTTTCTCGTCACATGATGCCAAGTGGCTTCTGGTGTGCAGGCGAGAGCCAAAGAAGCATCGCCACAGGGCTCCTTCGATGGCATCATTGGAAGGGGAGGCACGGTGGGCTGATTCATCGCAGTGGCCTGGGCAGATGGCACAGCTTGAAACCTCAATAACCTACCACAAACACATGAGCTATTATCACAGCAAGTCAATGAAGTATATGTTGACCCAAGGGACAGCTGTCGAAGATGGAATGGGACCACCGTTGTCAACAACATCATTCTTCGGCCCATTGGAATCCAGCAGCATCGGTGCAACAGTATCACCTGGCCAAACATGTTGTCACAGGAACAAAGAACAGTTAAATTAGTAGAAACAATTGGGTTATGGGTTGATCAGATATATGCTGGGTACTTGTCACAGTTGTTTGACATCAAAATGATTGGTTTGTGTTTCCAACCTGTCTTTGGGCTCGTCGACTTCGGAGTTTCATCAAGCACCATTGTGTCTGGAACTTCTTCATCATCACCAGCTTTGAAGAGTTGGACCGGGGGAACGTGTACTTCAGCTGGCTTGGCCGAAGACGCACTTGACGAAGTTGTTTTGACATCGCTCCCAGTCTCGGACATGTGCCGTTTTGGGTCTGGTGTGACCGTCGACCCACTCTGCGAAGCTGCACCCAAGGGACTCTTGTGAAGTGGTCGCTTCACAGGCACCGGTGTAGCCATCACAGCTAGTGCCCTCCTTCTAGCTCCTGCATTCAGAGCATCTTCCATAGCCTCAGATTGAATGAAATAACGCTTTTGATTTTGTTTGTCAAGCTAATGCATTCAACATATAGTGCAAACTAGCAGCTGACATCATCTCAGGTTCCAAAGAGTCAGAGCTCATGGCTGGCTAGTCAAACCAGCTGACAAAAACACGGTTTTTGATCCCAAATCCTTTAAATAATGAGAAATTCACGCAAATTCACGCGGATTCACGCGGGGTGTTTTCACATGTGAGTTTTCTTCGTGAATGTAGGTTCTGTGGGCCTACATTTGTCCAAATGTATGCTCCCTGTGCCTACATTCACATGTGAGAATTTATACTTTTCACGCAAATTCACGCTGGCTCCATGGATCGATCAGCCCCATGCAGGCCAATGTGCAACTTTCCACAGCCACTTGTCGAGGGTATGGAGACCCAAATGTGCTGATTTGCAACCCGCTTAGGTGGACTTGTGAATTAGTAATGCAAGATACAGCACTTTCTTCACCGTTGACCATCCACCTAGCGAGGGAAATGAATTACTCATAAAGCATCAAATTTGGAAGAGCTGTTTGAATTTCACAAGGGCAAACCACTTGTGGGAACAAACCTGCCAGCACACATTTCCCGGATCAGAAACCCTCTCACTTCATCCAGTTGTGCGTCCTTCCAATCAAATGGTGGCACCTAGGATAGGATAGACAATCAGAACCAATACATTAACTGCTCAGTTGTGTGCGTTCATGTTGCCAATCTCCACAAACATCATGCAGCTGAGGTTCCAGGGGTGTCATCGATGCAAGGCCAGCTTCTGAGGATGGCATGTCAAGCTCGGGTAGTCTGCCAGCAACCTGGGTATCCACAAGTTTGAGAGAGAAAGTATATACCCATAGGATCCATGTATGGTATATATGCTAACATTTGGGGTATATTGATGGTAAATGTTATCATATATATTATAACATACATGGATCCTATATATGGGATATTATATGTCGCAGTTGTTTGAACAGTACACACGCTGTGTTGTTCTAGTCACCACTGAAGCTATCCAGCAAAAGGCCTATAGTTCTTTCAATATTCCAAGAAACATAGTCTTCCATGTAGCAATCAGCAACAAACTCAGCAAACCCTTGGGGATATTCTGCCGATTGACGTAGAGATGGTCCACCGCTCCTTGGGTCAAACACCAACACTGGTAACCAGTCAATTATGTTCCTCTATCAACTGGAGTTCACATTGCCATCAGTGCCGATCACATGTGCAGTTCACATATAGGTTAACAGTGAAACAGTTGGGTCCTAGCTTAGACAGATTCACAGCTAAGTCCCCCACACACGCTTGCAGCCATCATGGGTAACATAGTGATTCACCATTTTGACATCAGTGCCATCCATATAGCAGGGAAGCGCTAACTTCTCCGATTTTGACATAGTCCCCCGAAGCCCATGGATCCACTTCCTGCTGGGCACAGCATATATCAACTCCCAACAAGACCAAACAATTGCTCTTGAACACATTCTCGATGCTGCTGAGATCAGAAGAGAAGTTCCACTTCTCTGAGTTCCCAGCGGGCTTCCAAGGAGATATGACAGTTTTGGTGATCTTGCACCATAGCATCCCATCCAACTGGGTGACACAGATTTGCATGTATATATATATATAATATGTTTTTTTTCATGACTGCATTATTGACAACGGCACACACTTGATTACCTTTATTGACAGCAAACAAAAGCAATATTCTGGTTGCCAAGAATCAATCTCTTGAATTTGGTATTCTCGCCACCCATCGCAGAAATCAGATGTTGCAGATAAGGTATCAGCACAAGCACTGATGTAGAAGGTTGTTCTACCTGAGCTGCAGAGGGGTCCAACAATGAGTCCAACAAGCAAACCATAAGGGAATGATGTTTTGGGGAGCTGCTGACAGGAGAACTAGATAAACCACAACAACAACATGGTTTGGTTTCAGCTTGTGACTTAGATGTGTGAGTGTAAAATGAATACAAACGAACAACGATCATTCATGGGGGTCATGATTATATGTTGAAGGTTGTCAACACCAACAGCATTGCACCACATCACCCCAGCATATTTTTTCTTCCCACCGATTGATGTATCGACCCATGTGCCGGCTCTTCTACTTCACTTTCGGTTGGCCCCGCCCAGTCTGGACATCACTGCTGAGAAGGCTGTGATTGGTCTGGAGTTCACCTCCCTCTCCTCACTCTCAGGTCCACCACCCCCTCTTCCGATTTGTTCTGCAATGACATGGCCGGGCGGTGGAGTCACTGGTGGTCTTGGCATCTTCTTTGCTGCAGGCTTGGCCTTGGGCCCACCAATTCTGCTCTGCAGATAGTCACTCTCCTCATCCACAACCACCTCCACCTCTGAATCTTCAGCCGGTGGTGCTTCAGATTCTCTTTCATGCCACCCCGCCTGTGTCATCCATGCCTTGGTTTGTCATAAATGAGAGTGTTTTTGTCAAACAAATTAAGCAAGCTTCCCCCTTGTGCCCCCTTTTTTACAATATATATATAATATATGTATACATTAAATAAATAATATATATATATATTATAATATATGTGATATTGGTTCACTGAAACAAAACATTGTTCTATCAAATCTGAGATGCTCCTTGCTCGGTCCAGCTTCCATCACCGTCAGGATATCCAGCTGGTGTCCAAGGCCATTCTCCTTCTGCAGTCCATGCTTCATTTTCCATCCATAGTCCTTGGTTCCAATGCCATGGTTCTTCACCACCCCATGCTCCATATCCATACCCTGCATTTTCCATCATGGTGACGTCATGGCTGTTCTCGGGATTGTGCCATGGGTGTATTGCTGGTGGCGGTGGTGGTGGCAGTTGTTGTTCTGTTGCAGTTGTTGCTGGTGGTGTTGGTGCTGGTGTTGGTGCTGGTGTTGGTGTTGGTGCTGGTGGTGTTGCTTCTGCTGCTGGTGGTACCAGTGTTGGCATTTCTTCTGGTGGTGGTGGTCTTGGTCCTGCTGTCATTGGGAACCTAGGGACTGGCACAGCCACATACACTGCGTTGCATTGTGCAGTATCATTTTGCACTGTGGAGATGATCATCTTGGGTGGAAGATCATAGAAAGGTCTGCGTTTGCCATCGTGTACTGACTGATAGAACTTGGCCCCCAGATCTGGGGCTTTCAGGCCTCTTTGCATCCATGGTATCTCCCACGCCTGCTTCTGCGCAACAGGGCCATGCCAGAACCACTCGCTGGTCTCATTGGCACAGTTCCAGTCTTGGCCAGCCCATGCAGATCGATCCTCAGCCATAGGCCCCTTGTCCTCTGCAGGCACTGGTACCTCATCTTGACGCATGGCACCTGTCTCCACTTGTGGACTCTCCAGCTTGGAACCTGCAGGCATAGAGCCTGTTGGCATGGCCTCTGTCTCTACTGGCTCCACTTGCTTGTGCTATGTCACCACATCCTTCGCCGGTACCTCTGGCATGGACGCTGTCTCTGTCTCCTTCAAAGCCATCGCCTCCTTCGAAGATGCATCACCAGGGCTCTGAGGGGGAGTTGGCAGACCCCCAACTGTCTCTTCAATCACCTTGGCCTTCTTTGCCTTCTCTGGTTTCTCTACCTTTTCAACCTTTGCCACCTTCTCTGTCTTCTTCTCCTTTGGCCTGTCAGTATGCTTCTTTTTCTTTGCTGTTTTCTCTGGGTCCTTGGCATCCCTGTGCCCCTCCTTTTTGACTGCTTTTGAACTCTTCGACTGGCTGCCCTTGCCTGTCTTCGCTTTTTTGCCCGCCGTCTCGAGGGAATTTGAAGTATCAGAGCTTGCCATGTCGCACAAGCACAGCTGGGTATACGCTGATGTGGATATTTCAAAAGTTGTTGACCCTGACATGAGTGATGCTTGTGGGTATGTGCTGCTGGAGGGCTGGTTGAACATAGGGTCCAATAGTGCAATGTAGGACACGTGTTGGTGATGTTACATGTTGTTGATGTTGCTGCTAGTGCTGTTGCTGCTGGTAAATACATACAAATGGGTCTTGTGCCAAGAAGGCTATATTGGACACTGAAGGCCAAGTTGGCATCACTGAGGTTCAATCTTAGCTGCATGAATACAACAATATATATTAGTTATAGCTGTTCATCATTGCATCATCATGACAAGGCTGCTTGTATAAAACCACACCCCAACACCCTTAAGCCAGGTTGCTGTCCACCACACCGATGTTGCTATACACAGCAAGAGCACCAGACTGAAACGTGCTATAAGCAGATTTGAAGTTTGCACCATACGTTGGCCTCAGCATGCACAAGCATTGCACTACTCAGCAACACACTTGCACCTATATGCAACATGTATGCGCAATCTTCACAGTAGTGTGTTGAAGACACGTCACTTGGGTTGCCCATGATGTAGAGGTTCCTCATGTGGGTGCCTGATGAAATAAAGATGAACCTGGGTGCATGCATCAGTCAGTGCAGGAATTGTTTACAATCAAAACCAAACAATCCCCTATAAGACAAGCTGCACATTAATGCATCCATGAAACCCTCCACATGGGTGCCCCCCATGCATCAATCCTCCAGGACGTATGCGAAGAGCATCGCGAATGGCAACGATGAAGCCCATGGTGGACGTGAGGTCATTTGAATCTTGTCGGTGAAGAACATCATACCAATGCCTCAGCCAACAATGATCACTAAGATTTGTTGTTTCTTTGTGTTTGCAGCACCATGCATTTAGCAACACTGCTAGGCACCTTGCGCTCTGAGCCCCCTTCTGCCTAGGCAGAACAATGCAGAACTTTTCAGATTCCTTCCGCCATCAGCCATGTAGGTGCACATGTTTCACAGCAAATTGAGTAGCCCACGGAACTCCTGATAGAGGACCCCACATCCACTAAACATCTCATAAAAATCCAAATCCTCAACTCCAGCAAGAGCTGTTTCGATCACAAGTTTGTACTACACATGTGTAAGTAAATACCAATTTTAGGCAAGCATCACGATGAAGAGGAGTACCATCTCGTGCAGCACTCTGCCGTATCCAATCACATAGGTGTACCCTTGGCCAGCAGCATGACGTAAGCAAGTGGCAGCTAGGAGGCCAGGAGGTCCCTTAAATATAGTATATTCGATTTATTGGAATTTATTGGTTCATGGGTGAAACCGATTCAGACCAAGTTCATTGTCTTGTAAAACATACACATTAATCATTCCAAGCCACAGGATCGGTGGACCACCTAGAAGAAGGATAATTGCAGCAGATCGAGCGCTGAGGATGGCTGGGCGATCATGTTGGAACGGCATTGCAGCAGAGATCGCCGCAAACCCCAGTGGGCAGGAAGTGATTTGCTCGTGTTGGCAGTGATGTGGTTTACATCATCATGTGATGCTAATGTGTCAATTGTGAAAAATCTCAATGCTGATCTTGGTGGATAATAGTGAAAATAACTAGTAGTTATATACCTAAAAGGGCTGCAGAGCCAACATTCAAATGAGCAATGTGTGTGTGTGTTTTGCTGGTGATGTCGTGTTGCAAGATCTGCATGCCATATATAGCAAAGAGTAGGCAATTAGGGTCCAATGGGGGTTCATCCAACAAACAGCTTCACTCTTTTGTCGTTCACCCACCAACGAAACTCCATCCGTGTAGCAACATGATTGATGATTCCTGGACTGTAGTGCCACACAAGCCTTTCAGAAAACAACCTGCTTTTAGACAACATATATATTTAGATAAATATTTTCTTGACTACTTTATCTTTCTCAGGCCTTGTTTGTGGCACTGTCCAACACAGCTAAGATCGGGGCTGGCCTACACTAAGAACGAATGGCAAATCAAGTCAAGATCTTTAGAGGAAATATGTTATGTTTTTTTGGGTATTGCTGTTGCGGATTTGTAGGCAGCCATGTCCATCCTACGAATTGTGCACAAGATTGCTATATGTGCATGTCACACAAAGCCACAAAGCTAGATGAGCTAGATCCACAAGCTACAGCAACAAACGGCCTATTGCCATTTTGCTACAGTTTTGGTGAGCGACCATGCGTTCCCTAGCCCACCTCGCTTTTTGAACGAGATCGTACACCCCTGGGCCTTGTTGGCCGAAAGGCCAGAGTCCGGTGGAAAGTTCCCATCTCCACAGCCATAGATGTAGAAACTCTTTGCAAACCACCTCAGCACATCAGTTTATGAGCCAGGTGTCAAACACATCAAACACATTGGTGCACCATGCATACAAGACACAGTACATTTAGAAAAAAACAACAACATGCAAGCAACTAGAGCATGCTGCAACCATCAGGCAAACCAATCTGTCATCCAAGTTACAGCACGCCCACAGCCAGCTTGCCATCAGCAGCCGGAAGCGTGTAGGATTTCCGAGAGCCATCGTACCCTTCAGGAATTGGCACTCCTGCTTCTCGAAGGAGCGGCTCCTGCAAAGAAAGTAAGATTGCACAACCGAAACATTTTTTGTTGATAGGTCAGACTTTGCCAGTCCTGGACTGCCCAGATTTCCTTCACCTCTTTCTCGGCATCATCGCCAGTAGGTTTTGGCTTTGCTGTTCTCTTCTTGCTGGGCTGCTTGTTTGGGGAAGGTTTTGTGGGTGTTTGGACAGACTCCCCACTCTTGCGTTTGCTGTCTCCGGCTGGCTTGGTTGTCTTGCTTGGAGACTTTGGCACCCCATCCACCAAATCCCCTGGCTGATCCCCTGCCCCAACGTTGGTAGCAGCATTGTCTGGTTCAGAGGCCTTTGTTTTTGGTTTCCTGCCCTTGCCCCTGCCTTTTCCTTTTGGTGCAGGATTGGCTGTGTCCTTTGTTGTGTTTGCCTCCTCCTTCTGAACTGCATTGGGGTCCGGCTGCTTTGATCTCACTCGGAAAGCATTTTTGACCTGCAGGCACATGGGATGATGATAGAGACTAAACCGGGAAAGCATTCCACATACAAGTACGAAACCAATCAAAGCACCACTCCTTCCCCTGGGCTTTCAGAAGCTCTGCATCCTCATTCCTATCGCCATCGATTTGATCACATAATTGTGCCACTTGGTCCTGCCAGCATTAAAGTAAAGCACAGAACCATGCAACCATATCAGCCATTTTTCCCAACATGTGCAATACACATTAAGAACCCCACCTGCAAGGACATGTCAACAGTTGCCACGCCAACCATCAACGGCTTCGACTCCTGCCCCAGCACAGGAACAATGACTCTAATATATTATCGATACCGATGCAGTTCTTGAATTCTAGAATGTTCCAGGATTTGAACCACAGCACCTTGCTCCATCAGTGACTGAGGCTGGCCTTCATTGCCTGGCGCCGTTCGTCTGCCTTCTCAGGGTGGATGTCCTGGCAGGGAGAGGATTAAGATTATAGGGCTTATTTCACCACATAATCACATAATCTATTCTCAGCAAATAAAACCCCATATAGGATCCATGTATGCTATAATATGGTAACATTTACCATATTTTACCATCAATATTCCCCAAATGTTAGCATATATATATATATACCATACATGGATCCTATATGGGAACATATGTGCAAGTATAATTACCAAGAAGCCGACGCACCTGGTTCGGCAGCTGATCATGATCAAAGGGCTGAGTTTCCACTTGATCGGGATGGACAAATAGAGCCTCACAGGTCCCCCAAGTTGTGATTCGGTCGCATGCAAATCATGAACATATAGACATCTGACAGGCCTTCTTGACACCATCTTGTAATGCATCTTCAGAACTGGGAGATTCCTCCTGTCATGTTACATGTTTTACCAACAAATGAATCATTGTGGGTATTTGGAAGTGAAGATGTTTTGTCGAACACGAATGCAGTCCTCATGGTCATCTAGAGCAGCTTGAACATCCGAAGCCATACGTCCCTCCACATCACCTGCAGTTCTGATAGGTGCAAGATGAACCTAAACATACTTCAACCTTGTTTCCAAAACCAACTATGCCATCAAGTAACCTTCTCCATCCTCTGCAAGAGCTGTCCGGATAGTCCGCTTGATGATGATCAAAGATTTCTTCCTGGCTGAATTAATATTTTTTGTTAACTCTTGATATATGGTGATGATATGTGCCATAAACCTGCCTTGATCCCTCTGAGTGGGCTGCAAGGGTCATGGCATGGATGGCCAGGCTCCGAGCTATGCCAGCAGTGAGAGCAGCCCATGCCTGCACAATGTCAACAAATCAGATACACATACAGTACATATACAAATATCATCAACTATCACCATCATTAATGTATCAGAGGTGGAAGAGCCAACACAATCATCACCCACTACAATCATTACAAGGCATCAGCACAAGACCATGCATCAACCAAGTGACCTTGACAGACTTCTTCAAAGTCTTCGGTGGAAACAATCCATATCGCATTGCACAGATATAGAAGACTGCCTCACAGTGCTGGCACAATTTGGGAAAAAAAACATGACTTCTGAAGGGGTGGTGTGTTGGTTAGTTTGTCCATGAGAAGTGCCTTGAACTTGGCCAGGCTTGGCACCCCCAACGGTGCAAAGGTGGCAAACAGCTCCACAAGGAATCGCCAGTTGTAGTCCAACTTAGATGTGTGAAGACACAGGCACACAATATTTAATATAATAGATCAAAACAAGGGTGCACATTGTTGACATGTACCAAATCTAGGATTGGCACAGCCTCTGCACATTGGGGACCATTTGAATCCAAGTCGAAGACCTTTCTCTCCTTCCAGCAAGCGAAACTGATAAAATATCTTTGAGTTAATGTGACTTTCAAAGAACTCAAGTTTAAACAAGCTGTCCTGGCTTTCCCGGATGTTTGGAATACGT